TGTTCCCTCTGAGTTGCGTGGTCGCCCTGTGCTCTTCCCCTTACACAAACAGCCTGCTTCCTCAAATTGTCGGTACCAACGACAAATGCTCTTTGACATTGGCGGATCAAGGCCAAAACGCCGTTGAAACGCACGCTGCACCGCAATTACGGATTCAGTCTCGCTGAACTGCAGAATGCAAAACGCCTTGTGTGTTGCGGGGTCACCATCTTGCGAATGACTGAGGCTAGGGGCTGTTTGTGCGCTGGGAGAGGCATCTAGCGGTGATCGTTTAAAAATCTATGCCCCGCCCTCTCTCTATGCCCTGCCCTCTCTCTATGCCCCGCCCTCTCTATGCCCCGCCCTTTCAAGTGGTAAGAGTTTCATTCATGGGCGGTTCGTGGTTGCAGAGATATAGCGATTTCAAATGGGGTCCGTCTTTTTCAAACACCCTGTACTATAGAGTCAGTAGTTTCTACTCACTCTATAGTAGTATCTACTGACTCTATATATGCCTACGCACCCTACATACAATAGTCAGTAGATATCTACCGACTGACTCTGCACACAATAGAGTCAGTGGATATCTCGCCGTATTTTGTGGCCATGTATATTTCTCTTAACCTTTTTCATTCAGGCCTTGCGAAAGGCTCTCATCATTTAGTTGACAAACAAACGTGCAAACGGAACGCCGGGCTTCAATACTAGGCTGGTTCATTGAGGGATGTCTTCGCCAGGCAGAAATTTTCAATAAATATGTAATAATACTCTCGGAGACGGCTTGTGGAATCGGTCCTTTTATTTACTTATCTCAGTTCACAAGCACTCCCCGTTGCTGGCAGGCAACGGGGAGTGGGCAGGCAGATCGCAAGAGACGCACCGCCACGCGGCACTCGGAGCCCCACTCGCGCGTGGCCCCTCTCTCTCTTCGTTCCTCGTCTGACCACGTGTCCCTCGGCTCTTCCCTTATTTAACGCCTGGGTCACGTGGTACGCTCCAGCCAATCCTTAATAGCCTGCGCTGAATGTTCCAGATTCCCCATCAACTCCCGGGACCACGCCCCTGACTTGTCTTCCCATTGGCTGAGGCCAAGACCAGCAGAACCAATCATCCTAGCTGACATCCCTCGATCACGCCAGGGCTATGCTCCCAGGCTCTCCCCCCATTGGCTGTAGAGCAGGACCGGCAGAGCCGATCACCACGTGAGCCGGACATAGGCTCTCATTACAAATATAATAATTAACCTGATATTATTTTTGTTTACAATGTTTATCTACGATCAGACACGAACAACCACTCCTAGCATTTGTATTTTTCCGCCAAAAATACCCACAAAAATTGTTGACGACTTGATTCAACTTCATCAGGTGTTACTGCTCCAGTACAATTACTGTAGCTATTACACCTGATGACGGAGGCTTGTGTTGCTTCCGAAACGTCGTGATTTAATGTAGTTTTTCTCATGTATTATTATTTTATTTTATTATTATTATTTTACTTACGTGACTTTACCGAAAGAACCTAAGAGTATGAATCCTTGCAGTCACGAAAGCTTCAAATCTAGAATTGATTCAACTTCTTATATTTAAAGACGTTCCCGTCTGGAAACTTTCTCAATTTAAAGATTTCGTTATTTTTTGTATGAGAAAGAACAAAAATGCAATGAACTTAATACTCTACGAGAGGAGTTTAACACGCGGGTTTAAGGTGAAGCTCCTATCTTTTATCGTTTTAAAATTAATCAGATTTGAACATCACAAAATGCGTATTTTTTCATTCAAAACCGCTAGAATCCAAAATATAAAAAAAAAACAAAAGATACAACAATGGTCCTCTCTTAAATTTTATTTGCTGTTTAACGCTCCACCAAACGTAAACCACATGCACAGACACGTTTATGGGGCACTTAAACTCGAGATTTGTGGCTTTTAAAACATCTCGGATTTTCAGATCGTTCCTGTTGTCTGTGTCCTAAAAGCCACCTGACGTACCAGATTTCATCTTTATACCTCGTCGGAAAGTACCCTAGGGGTTTCTGAGACACACATACAGATTGAAGTCGTCATTGATATCGATATATGACGAACGGCAGCAGAAAATCGTCGTCACCGTCACCACCATCACCACCTCGCTCCACTAACTGTGAGACCTTGGCAGGAGCTTCCTGACGAAAAGCCACGTGAGACTGAGTGAGGCTCTTTGCTGCGTTAAAAAGTCTCACTAATAAACTCAGCCGCACCGAACCTCATATATACAAATACTGTGTTCTTGGAATTTCTCTCACTTGACACAGCTATCGTGCTGTGACGGTTCCACCTGAAGACGGAAGCTTGTGTTGCCTCCAAAACGTCGTGATTTTTATTTTATTTTTATTTTACTTTTATTAATTTAATTTTTTTACCTACGTGACTTTACCGAAAAAAACCTAAGAATATCTAAAACTCTCTATTTTCAATGTTACCAGCTAAGGCCCGCTGAGATGTGTAGCTCTTTTTCAGAAGCGACCCGGCCACAAATGATAGCTCAACGAAGTGGCTCATCATCATCATCACCACCACGTGGAAATGTATAGCAGCCAAATACTCTAAACGCACGTTTCTATAACAACAACCCGCCGTTCGCCACTAAGTGGCGAGGACGTCACCACGGTTGCCTGTGCCTGGCTAGGTGCACTTTGAGGCCACGTGAAGTGTCGAAGGCTCGCCGATGGGCACGAGGTCACAGGACAGACCCAGGTTGCCCATGGGTTGATTGGCTGAGATGGCTGGCAGATGCACCACCGGTGCCCACCGACTGTGCCACACACACACACACCAAGACAAATATCCCCCATATAGCCTGTAACAGACTGTTGGGGCAAGTGCTGTTTGCGAATAGCATCTATGAAGTCCGGTACGGCACACGAGGAGGTGGGTGTCCAGTACCACGCCCGACCGCCTTTGTCTCCCTAGCGGTGATGTTTACACACCACACCAGGTACTCATTTGAGGCTGAGTTGACCTAGGAGAGGCCCAGGACCGGTTCAGATAATCGCTATCACTCGTGTTGGCCGTGAGCGGGAATCGAACTCGTGTCGCCGGGTTCATAGCGCAGCGCGCTAACCGCTGCACTATCACTCCCCACGTGTATGTAATGGGTTCCGGAGACACTTGTAGAGGTAACGTCTTTATTGCAATACAACACTCCAACAGTCCTGATACTCTGTTACAGCCTAGGTGCACAGCCTAGGTGCACAGCCTAGGTACACAGCCTAGCGACGCAGCCTAGCGACGCAGCCTAGGTGCGCAGCCTAGGTGCGCAGCCTAGGTGCGCAGCCTAGGTGCACAGTCTAGGTGCACAGCCTAGGTACACAGCCTAGCGACACAGCCTAGCGACACAGCCTAGGTACACAGCCTAGGTGCACAGCCTAGGTACACAGCCTAGATACACAGCCTAGGTACACAGCCTAGATACACAGCCTATGGACACAGCCTAGCGACACAGCCTAGGTACACAGCCTAGGTGCACAGCCTAGGTACACAGCCTAGATACACAGTCTAGGTACACAGCCTAGGTGCACAGCCTAGGTACACAGCCTAGCGACACAGCCTAGGTACACAGCCTAGGTACACAGCCTAGGTACACCACCTAGGTACACCACCTAGGTACACAGCCTAGATACACAGCCTAGGTACACAGCCTAGATACACAGCCTATGGACACAGCCTAGGAACACAGCCTACTCTGGCTACGCTCTGGGGTCCTCCGGCTACAATTTCCCTAGGGGAGGCTAATCTGACCCGACCGAGCCAAGGTGCGGGTCTGGACTCTGGCTTCCTCGGAACTCGCCCTTACAGGGACGTAGAGCCGGGAGTCGCAGAGTCCCACCACTGGCCCTCACAGCGTCCCGGCCCTTACAAGGACAAGTGGGACGAGGGGGTCCAGGGTCCTACTCTGGCTGGTCTTGGGTCTTGAGCTGCGACTGCCTTTTTATGCCTCGTCCCCAACGAGGGGTGGGGTTGTGGGCGCCCCCAGATATCCCACAGAGCACACACAGCCCCCCCCCCCCCCCGTTGGTGGCGCCAAGGGGCTTAACTGTCTGGGGTGCCTGGGATCCTAGCGCCTGGCGCCAAGGGGCTTATCTGCCTAGGATCCCAGAGCCCCCAGCAGCCCCTCCCCTCTTATGGCACTACATATACACCACACACACATATACACACACACACACCATCATACACACACACATATACACACACATCATCATACACTACACACACACAGACCACTTGCCAGCATCGCACGCTCAACCTGTGCTCGGGGTGTGGAGCGCAGGCGACAGCAGGCGGCGTGGTGCTCGTGGTGCTGCTGCTGCTGCTGGTGCTGGTGGTGGTGCTGGTGGTGGTGGATTTGCTGGTGGTTCTGCTGGTGGTGGATCTGCTGGTGGTGCTGCTGGTGGTGCTGGTGGTGGATCTGCTGGTGGTGCTGGTGGTGGATCTGCTGGTGGTTCTGCTGGTGGTTCTGCTGGTGGTGGATCTGCTGGTGGTGCTGCTGGTGGTGCTGGTGGTGGATCTGCTGGTGGTGCTGGTGGTGGATCTGCTGGTGGTGCTGGTGGTGGATCTGCTGGTGGTGCTGGTGGTGGATCTGCTGGTGGTGCTGGTGGTGGATTTGCTGGTGGTTCTGCTGGTGGTGCTGGTGGTGGATCTGCTGGTGGTGCTGGTGGTGGATCTGCTGGTGGTGCTGGTGGTGGATCTGCTGGTGCTGCTGGTGGTGCTGCTGCTGGTGGTGCTGCTGGTGGATCTGCTGGTGGTGCTGGTGGTGCTGCTGGTGCTGGTGGTGGATCTGCTGGTGGTGCTGGTGGTGCTGGTGGTGCTGGTGGTGGATCTGCTGGTGGTGCTGGTGGTGCTGGTGGTGGATCTGCTGGTGCTGCTGCTGGTGGTGGATCTGTTGGTGCTGCTGCTGGTGGTTCTGCTGGTGGTTCTGCTGGTGCTGGTGCTTCTGCTGCTGCTGCTGGTGGTTCTGCTGGTGGTGCTGGTGCTGGGGCCATGCAGAGGACACACGCGGCTGGCTGTGCCGCCTACCGCCTGCGCCACTGGATCACGGACCAGGTGGACGGCGGCAAGTACCCGGGCCTGGCGTGGGAGGACGAGGCGCGCAGCACGTTCCGCATCCCGTGGAAGCACGCGAGCAAGAAGGAGTACAGGCACGAGGAGGATGCCGCCGTCTTCAAGGTGGGGGGGGGGGGGGCGGGAGGGGGGCGGGGGGTGAGGGGGGGTGAGGGGGGGTGAGGGGGGGTGAGAGGGGGGGGTGAGAGGGGGGGGCGAGAGGGGGGGGTGAGAGGGGGGGGCGAGAGGGGGGGGGCGCCAGGGGTGTAGATGTGAACTAGCTCACCTGGTGTGAAGGAGGAGGTTGTGGGTGTCACCTTCCTCTCGTTCCCCCCTCTCGTGCCCTGCTCACCCCCCGCTCACCCCCCACTCATCCCCCACTCACCCCCCACTCACCCCCCACGTGTCTCTCCTCTCGCCCCCCCCTCTCGCCCCCCCCTCTCGCCCCCCCTCTCGCCCCCCCCTCTCACCCCCCCTCTCACCCCCCCACTCACCCCCCACTCACCCCCCACGTGTCTCTCCTCTCACCCCCACTCACCCCCCACTGACCCCCCACTCACCTCACACCCCCACTCACCCCCCCGCTCACCCCCCCGCTCACCCCCCCGCTCACCCCCCTCTCACCCCCCCTCTCACCCCCCTCTCACCCCCCTCTCACCCCCCTCTCACCCCCCACTCCACGTGTCTCCCCTCTCGTCCCCCCATTCACCCCCCACTCATCCCCCACTCATCCCCCACGTGTCTCCCCTCTCATCCCCCCTCTCACCCCCCCCCCACTCTCACCCCCCCCACTCACCCCCATTCACCCCCCTCTCACCCTCCCACGTGTCTCCCCTCTCATCCCTCCTCTCACCTCACCACCCCCTCTCACCCCCTCTCACACCCCCACTCACCCCCCACTCACCCCCACTCACCCCCCTCTCACCCCCCCACTCACCCCCCACTCACCCCCCTCTCACCCTCCCCCCTCTCACCCTCCTCTCACCCCGGCAGGCGTGGGCCATCTTCAAGGGCAAGTACCGAGCGGGCGAGGACCGTGCGGACGCGAGCACGTGGAAGACGCGTCTGCGCTGCGCCCTCAACAAGAGCCCCGACTTCCAGGAGCTGAGCGACCGCAGCCAGACGGCGAGCGGCGACGCGTTCAAGGTGTACCGCATCCTGCCCGAGGAGAGCACCACGCGATGTGAGTGTGCCTCTGTGTGTGTGTCTCTCTCTGTGTGTCTCTGTGTGTGTGTGTCTCTGTGTGTGTCTGTGTGTGTCTCTGTGTGTGTCTGCGTGTCTCTGTGTGTGTGTGTCTGTGTGTGTCTCTGTGTGTGTCTCTGTGTGTGTCTGTGTGTCTCTGTGTGTCTCGCTGTCTCTGTGTGTGTCTCTGTGTGTCTTTGTGTGTGTCTCTGTGTGTGTCTGCGTGTCTCTGTGTGTGTGTGTCTGTGTGTGTCTCTGTGTGTGTCTCTGTGTGTGTCTGTGTGTCTCTGTGTGTCTCGCTGTCTCTGTGTGTGTCTCTGTGTGTCTCTGTGTCTGTCTCTGTGTGTCTCGCTGTCTCTGTGTGTCTCTGTGTGACTCTGTGTGTGTCTCTGTGTGTCTCTGTGTGTCTCTGTGGTGTGTCTCGCTGTCAGTAGTGTGTCTCTGTGTGTCTCTCTGTGTGTCTCTGTGTGTGTCTGTGTGTCTGTGTGTGTGTCTTGCTGTCAGCAGTGTGTCTCTGTGTGTGTATCTGTGTGTCTCTGTGTGTCTCTGTGTGTCTCTGGGGTGCCACGGTGCTGATATGGTGAAACCGGTCTTGAGTGTTTCCTTGCGTTGCCGCACAGCGCCGTCGAACGTGTTCGCTCCCAGAAGAAAGGTGTCCGTGTTGATCGGATGCGAAAATTAGTTTTTAATATGTATCTGTTTACTTTAAATGTCTTCATGTTGAGAGACAAATATGGGAAGGAGGAGGAGACATTGCTGATCTGTTTCGTGTTCCGATACCAAGGACACTGGAGGCAACGTGGTGGCTAGGAGATGTTAACTCCCTCGCCTGGTACACAGGAGGTCGTGGGTTCGATCCCGACCCTGATGCCTGCTGCTATAAATTTGGAGTTTGCGTGTCTCTCTCATCATCATCACGGTGGCTAGAAGATGTTAACTCCCTCGCCTGGTACGCAGGAGGTCGTGGGTTCGATCCCGACCCCGACGACTGCTGCTGCATATTGGAATTTGCGTGTCTCTCTCTCATCATCATCACGGTGGCTAGGAGATGTTAACTCCCTCGCCTGGTGTGCAGGAGGCCGTGGGTTCGATCCCGACCCCGACGCCTGCTGCTGCTGTATATTGGAATTTGCTTGTCTCTTTCTTTCATCATCACGGTGGTTAGGGGATGTTAACTCCGTCGCCTGGTATACAGGAGGTCGTGGGTTCGATCCCGACCCCGACGCCTGCTGCTGTATATTTGGAGTTTGCGTGTCTCTCTCTCATCATCATCATGGTGGCTAGGAGATGTTAACTACCTCGCCTGGTGTGCAGGAGGTCGTGGGTTCGATCCCGACCCCGACGCTTGCTGCTGTATATTTGGAGTTTGCGTCTCTCTCTCTCATCATCATCACGGTGGCTAGGAGATGTTAACTACCTCGCCTGGTGTGCAGGAGGTCGTGGGTTCGATCCCGACCCCGACGACTGCTGCTGTATATTTGGAGTTTGCGTGTCTCTCTCTCTCATCATCATCACGGTGGCTAGGAGATGTTAACTCCCTCGCCTGGTACACAGGAGGTCGTGGGTTCGATACCGACCCTGATGCCTGCTGCTGCATATTTGGAGTTTGCGTGTCTCTGTCTCTCATCATCATCACGGTGGCTAGGAGATGTTAACTACCTCGCCTGGTACACAGGAGGTCGTGGGTTCGATCCCGACCCTGATGCCTGCTGCTATAAATTTGGAGTTTGCGTGTCTCTCTCTCTCATCATCATCACGGTGGCTAGGAGATGTTAACTACCTCGCGTGGTATACAGGAGGTCGTGGGTTCGATCCCGACCCCGACGACTGCTGCTGTATATTTGGAGTTTGCGTGTCTCTCTCTTTCCCCGTGGTCGCGTGGATTTTTCTCGGGGTTTTTCGCCTCCACGTTTAGGATGGGCGTGCGCTTAGAGTCTTTGGCGTCCGCTCGAAATGTCCACGTGACGAGCCACTTTGTTGAGCTGTCATTTGTGGCCACGTCGCTTCTGAATAATATTGCGACACCTCAGTGGGCCTTCACCTGGTGGAATAGAAATAGTTGATTTGACGCTCCGTGTCCGTTGTCTTCACAGGTGACTGTGCCCGCGACAGCGATGAGATCATGCCGCCAGAAGAACCTGAAGAGAACCAGGAGGTACAGGTGCTCCATCAACATCGTCGTCAACATCATCGTCGTAATCATCATCGTAATCATCATCATCGTCGTAATCATCATCGTAATCATCATCGTCGTAAACATCATCGTCGTAATCATCATCGTCGTCAACATCATCGTCGTCAACATCATCGTCGTCATCAACATCGTCGTAATCATCATCGTTGTCAACATCATCGTCAACATCGTCGTCGTCAACATCGTCATCGCCATCAACATCGTCGTAATCAACATCGTCGTTAACATCAACATCGTCGTCAACATCATTTTCGTAATCATCATTGTCGTCATCAGGACTCTTTCAGGAGGGTCCTGCTACATGGGGGCGTGCGGGTGAGCGTGCGGGTGAGCGTGCGGGTGAGTTGGTGAGCATGTGGGTGAGTTGGTGAGCATGTGGGTGAGTTGGTGAGCATGTGGGTGAGTTGGTGAGCGTGCGGGTGAGTTGGTGAGCATGTGGGTGAGTTGGTGAGCATGTGGGCTAGCGTGTGGGTGAGTTGGTGAGCGTGTGGGTGAGTTGGTGAGCATGTGGGTGAGTTGGTGAGCGTGTGGGTGAGTTGGTGAACGTGTGGGTGAGTTGGTGAGCATGTGGGTGAGTTGGTGAGCATGTGGGTGAGTTGGTGAGCGTGCGGGTGAGTTGGTGAGCGTGTGGGTGAGTTGGTGAGCGTGTGGGTGAGTTGGTGAGCGTGTGGGTGAGTTGGTGAGCATGTGGGTGAGTTGGTGAGCATGTGGGTGAGTTGGTGAGCGTGCGGGTGAGTTGGTGAGCGTGTGGGTGAGTTGGTGAGCGTGCGGTGAGTTGGTGAGCGTGTGGGTGAGTTGGTGAGCGTGTGGGTGAGTTGGTGAGCGTGTGGGTGAGTTGGTGAGCGTGCGGGTGAGTTGGTGAGCGTGTGGGTGAGTTGGTGAGCATGCGGGTGAGTTGGTGAGCATGCGGGTGAGTTGGTGAGCGTGCGGGTGAGTTGGTGAGCGTGTGGGTGAGTTGGTGAGCATGTGGGTGAGCTGGTGAGCGTGTGGGTGAGTTGGTGAGCATGCGGGTGAGTTGGTGAGCGTGTGGGTGAGTTGGTGAGCATGTGGGTGAGTTGGTGAGCGTGCGGGTGAGTTGGTGAGCATGTGGGTGAGTTGGTGAGCGTGCGGGTGAGTTGGTGAGCATGCGGGTGAGTTGGTGAGCGTGTGGGTGAGTTGGTGAGCGTGCGGGTGAGTTGGTGAGCGTGCGGGTGAGTTGGTGAGCATGTGGGTGAGTTGGTGAGCGTGTGGGTGAGTTGATGAGCGTGTGGGTGAGTTGGTGAGCGTGCGGGTGAGTTGGTGAGCGTGCGGGTGAGTTGGTGAGCATGCGGGTGAGTTGGTGAGCGTGTGGGTGAGTTGGTGAGCGTGCGGGTGAGTTGGTGAGCATGCGGGTGAGTTGGTGAGCGTGTGGGTGAGTTGGTGAGCATGCGGGTGAGTTGGTGAGCGTGTGGGTGAGTTGGTGAGCGTGCGGGTGAGTTGGTGAGCGTGCGGGTGAGTTGGTGAGCATGCGGGTGAGTTGGTGAGCGTGTGGGTGAGTTGATGAGCGTGTGGGTGAGTTGGTGAGCGTGCGGGTGAGTTGGTGAGCGTGCGGGTGAGTTGGTGAGCATGCGGGTGAGTTGGTGAGCGTGTGGGTGAGTTGGTGAGCGTGCGGGTGAGTTGGTGAGCATGCGGGTGAGTTGGTGAGCGTGTGGGTGAGTTGGTGAGCATGTGGGTGAGTTGGTGAGCATGTGGATGAGTTGGTGAGCGTGCGGGTGAGTTGGTGAGCATGCGGGTGAGTTGGTGAGCGTGTGGGTGAGTTGGTGAGCGTGCGGGTGAGTTGGTGAGCGTGCGGGTGAGTTGGTGAGCATGTGGGTGAGTTGGTGAGCGTGTGGGTGAGTTGATGAGCGTGTGGGTGAGTTGGTGAGCGTGCGGGTGAGTTGGTGAGCGTGCGGGTGAGTTGGTGAGCATGTGGGTGAGTTGGTGAGCGTGTGGGTGAGTTGGTGAGCGTGCGGGTGAGTTGGTGAGCATGCGGGTGAGTTGGTGAGCGTGTGGGTGAGTTGGTGAGCATGTGGGTGAGTTGGTGAGCATGTGGGTGAGTTGGTGAGCGTGCGGGTGAGTTGGTGAGCGTGCGGGTGAGTTGGTGAGCGTGTGGGTGAGTTGGTGAGCATGTGGGTGAGTTGGTGAGCGTGTGGGTGAGTTGGTGAGCGTGCGGGTGAGTTGGTGAGCGTGCGGGTGAGTTGGTGAGCGTGTGGGTGAGTTGGTGAGCGTGTGGGTGAGTTGGTGAGCGTGCGGGTGAGTTGGTGAGCGTGTGGGTGAGTTGGTGAGCGTGCGGGTGAGTTGGTGAGCATGCGGGTGAGTTGGTGAGCGTGTGGGTGAGTTGGTGAGCGTGTGGGTGAGTTGGTGAGCGTGTGAGTGAGTTGGTGAGCGTGTGGGTGAGTTGGTGAGCGTGTGGGTGAGTTGGTGAGCATGCGGGTGAGTTGGTGAGCGTGTGGGTGAGTTGGTGAGCATGTGGGTGAGTTGGTGAGCGTGTGGGTGAGTTGGTGAGCATGCGGGTGAGTTGGTGAGCGTGCGGGTGAGTTGGTGAGCGTGCGGGTGAGTTGGTGAGCGTGCAGGTGAGTTGGTGAGCATGTGGGTGAGTAGGCGAGCATGTGGGTGAGTTGGTGAGCATGTGGGTGAGTTGGTGAGCGTGTGGGTGAGTTGGTGAGCATGTGGGTGAGTTGGTGAGCGTGTGGGTGAGTTGGTGAGCGTGCGGGCGAGTTGGTGAGCATGTGGGTGAGTTGGTGACCGTGTGGGTGAGTTGGTGAGCATGTGGGTGAGTTGGTGAGCGTGTGGGTGAGGTGGTGAGCGTGTGGGTGAGTTGGTGAGCGTGTGGGTGAGTTGGTGAGCATGTGGGTGAGTTGGTGAGCGTGTGGGTGAGTTGGTGAGCGTGCGGGCGAGTTGGTGAGCATGTGGGTGAGTTGGTGACCGTGTGGGTGAGTTGGTGAGCATGTGGGTGAGTTGGTGAGCGTGTGGGTGAGTTGGTGAGCGTGTGGGTGAGTTGGTGAGCGTGCGGGTGAGTTGATGAGCATGTGGGTGAGTTGGTGAGCGTGTGGGTGAGTTGGTGAGCGTGCGGGTGAGTTGGTGAGCATGTGGGTGAGTTGGTGAGCATGTGGGTGAGTTGGTGAGCGTGCGGGTGAGTTGATGAGCATGTGGGTGAGTTGGTGAGCGTGCGGGTGAGTTGGTGAGCATGTGGGTGAGTAGGCGAGCATGTGGGTGAGTTGGTGAGCATGTGGGTGAGTTGGTGAGCATGTGGGTGAGTTGGTGAGCATGTGGGTGAGTTGGTGAGCGTGCGGGCGAGTTGGTGAGCGTGCGGGTGAGTTGGTGAGCATGTGGGTGAGTTGGTGAGCGTGTGGGTGAGTTGGTGAGCATGTGGGTGAGTTGGTGAACGTGTGGGTGAGTTGGTGAGCGTGCGGGTGAGTTGATGAGCATGTGGGTGAGTTGGTGAGCGTGCGGGTGAGTTGGTGAGCATGTGGTGTCGCGTGCGGCTGAGTGCGACGTGGGGCTGTCAAGGCCCCCGTCCCGGGTGGGTTTGTGAAACGCCCTCAGGTCCAAAGTTCGCTGGCGTGGGGGGTGGGGGGGTGAGCCCAGGAGTCGTCACAATTTCGGGGAACTCGTAAAAGAACTCACGACGAGACGGGCGCGCGGGGCGAGGGCACCACGGGAGAGACTCGCTCTGACTCGCTCTCACGAGTCTCTCACGAGTCTCCCACGAGTCTCTCACGAATCTCTCAGCTCTTCTCCAGGAAGGGCCTTCACTGCCAAGTGCTCTGCAGTACGGGGGGGGGGGGGGTAGGTGACGATCAGAGGTCGCGACCGGGTACCCGATACCCGTACCCTACCCGATACCCGGCTACCCGTACCCGGCCGGGTACGGGTACCCATTTGCGACCCTGGTGCGGCCGGGTACGGGTACGGGTAGGCCGTGAGTCACTGGTGAGTAACCGTTTGTCACTCATTTCCCAACGTCTTGTCTCTTCTCACAAGCGAGCTTCATCCGGCACTGCTCCCGCTCGCTGCCACCGACAACCACTGACGGCGAATATCTGACCCGCTGCTGTGCCTTCCCTAGGTCGACTCAGCCTTGAAAAAAAAGTACCTCCTGTGCGGTGTGCTGCTACTGTGGGGAGACAAAGGCGGCCGGGCGTGGTGTCCGGCCAACCGTTTTCTAATTCGGCTAAATTTTGACCGCGGGCGCCGGGACACACATTGGCCTACTCTTCCTCGACTGACGTCATGGCATCTTTAGCGTCCACGATGAGCGACGCGGAGGGGCGCGTCGTGTGGTTAGTCCACAGTCGGCAGTATTGGGACATTCCACATTCCCATGGCGGAGAGTTGGGGGCGAGTCTATCCAAGGCACAACCACCGTTGGCATCCCCGCAAAGTGGTAGCCATTTTTCGATTTAAAGCTTTCGTGACTGCAGGGATTCATCTTCTTGGTTCTTTCGGTAAAGTCACGTAAAATGGACATAATAAAATAATAAAAATAAAACATAATAAAATAATAAAAATAAAACATATTATTTCCATTCTACGTGACTTTACCGAAAGAACCAAGAAGATGGTAGCTATTTTATCGACCCCGGACGGATGACGACGATGATGATGATGATGAGTCAACCACCCAAACCAGGAAGAGGGGAGACAAAGGTGGACGTTGAGACCACGTGGGGACGTGGGGGGGGGGTGTCAGGCGAAATTTCCGAGATTTAATGATGCTTTCAGTACGGAACCACTGACACACCCACACACACAATGCACGCACGTGAAGATACAGATCCCCCGTATAGCCTCGAACGAACTGTGGAGGCAAGTGGTTTTAATGAGCGCTCGTGAATCAAGGCCAACACGGCACAATGCAAGTGGCAAGTGGGGTGGGCTGACCAACACCCACGCTCGACCGCCTTTAACTCCCGAGTGGCGATGTTTAGACAAGAGAAATTAACCCGTAAAAACAAAGTTTTTCACTATAAATCCTTTTTATGCGTGGCGGCTAGAGTCCTCTCGTCCTCTGGCTTGAGATGGCTGCCACCTATGGGTCAGATGATTGCCTGCCACCATTAAGCAATTGGTAATTAAATATTAAAAAAAATCCTAAAAAGTGTAAAATTTTGGAAACATTTTTTCACGAAAATAAATTGTCACGCACAACGAGTCTGTGTGCAAAATGTCAGCTCGATTGGATCACGGGAAGTGGGTTAAAAAACGACCAAAAGATTTGCACGGTCGTAAGCGCGCAAGCAAGCAAGTGAACTTAATATAAAGGATTTAAAAATGGGTCTCTGTGCGAGTCTATGGGTCTCAACGTGAGTCTATAGATCTGTGTGTGAGACTGGGTCTCTTGAGTGAGTCTATGGATCTGTGTTGTGAGTCTGTGGGCCTCTGTGTGAGTCTACGGGTCTCTATGCAGGCCTATGGGTATCTGCGGGAGAGTCTATGGGTCTGTGTGTGAGGCTGGGTCTCTTGAGTGAGTCTATGGATCTGTGTTGTGAGTCTGTGGGCCTCTGTGTGAGTCTATGGGTCTCAATGCAGGTCTGTGGGTCTCGGCGTGAGTTTATGGATCTGTGTGTGAGATTGGGTCTCTTGAGTGAGTCTATGGATCTGTGTTGTGAGTCTGTGTGTCTCTGTGTGAGTCTACGGGTCTCTATGCAGGCCTATGGGTATCTGCGTGAGAGTCTATAGGTCTGTGTGTGAGACTGGGTCTCTTGAGTGAGTCTATGGATCTGTGTTGTGAGTCTGTGGGCCTCTGTGTGAGTCTACGGGTCTCTATGCAGGTCTATGGGTATCTGCGTGAGAGTCTATGGGTCTGTGTGTGAGACTGTGGGTCTCTGGATGAGTCTGTGGCTCTGTGCGAGTCTCTGTGAGACTCTGTGAGACTCTGTGTGAGTCTGTATGAGTTGTTGTGTGAGTTTGTGGCTCTCTGAGTGAGTCTGTGGCTCTGTGCGAGTCTGTGGCTCTGTGCGGGTCTGTGGCTGTCTGAGTGAGTCTATGGCTCTCTGAGTGAGTCTATGGCTCTCTGAGTGAGTCTGTGGCTCTCTGTGTGAGTCTGTGGCTCTCTGTGTGAGTATGTGGCTCTCTGTGTGAGTCTGTGGCTCTCTGAATGAGTCTAAGACCACACTCCGGGCGACTGCATCTTCCGCGGGATCTGGCGGAGGGCAGCGAGCGGTGGCCGTGACGACGACGATGAGACACACGTCGACGTCTCGAGCGCGTTTCGTCAGTCCCACCGCTCCACTCCGTAGTCGTGTTTGACGCGCGGCGTACCAACGCGTGGCCGCCGTGCGGGTCACACGTGTGGGTCACACGTGCGGGTCACACGTGCGCGTCCCGTCTGACTTACAGGTGTCCATGGCAGTGATGGAATCGGCGCCCTGGTGTTACAGCCCTGAAATGCTGCTCAACTTCCCAGGTAATGATGAATCACGCACGCACGCACACACGCACGCACGCACACACGCACGCACGCACGCACACACGCACGCACGCACGCACACACGCACGCACGCACACACGCACGCACGCACGCACGCACACACGCACGCACGCACACACACACGCACGCACCGACACAAAGATCTCCCCGTGCCTCCACCGTGTAGCCTGTAGCAAGGAGCACCTATGAAGGCCGGCACGGCACACGAAAGGGGTGGGTGGCCAGCACCACGCCCGGCCGCCTTTGTCTCCCCAATGTTTACGCACCGCTCGAGGTACTAATTTAGGGCTGAAGCCGACCCAGGCAAGGCCCAGGATCAGTTCAGATGATCGCCACTCTGTGTGTCTACGAATGTTGAACTTCATTTGCACCGTACGTAGCCAACCGTGATAATCGTATGTGGGTCGCCGGGTTCGTAGCGCAGCGCGCAAACAGCTACGCACGCACGCTGCAAACCTACGCGCCCCCTGCATGAAAACGAGAGAGCGATCATCGTATTCATATTCATCACAGATAAAGTTGGGCGTTTATTCATTATTATAATACAGTGGTACCCCGGAAATCGAACTCAATTCGTTCCAGAAGGCCATTCGAACACCGTTTTGTTCGAACACCGAATTAATTTTCCCCATAAGAATTCATTTAAATGACATTAATTGGTTCCAGACACAAGAAATCTCTCATCTTAAATCATTTTTACACGACGTTTACAGTAATTACATGCATTACAATCATACAAAAAAACAAGACACACAATAAATAAATGGAATAAGTGAATAAATATATGGAATAAATGAAAAAAAATTACATTGAACTTTACCTGTAGTAAGGAGAGTAGTTGGCTTGAGTGGAAGGTGGTGAGGAGGAGGAGGAGGTGGTGGTGGTGTTATTGTTTGGAAGGCGAGTCACCTTTGTCTGGGCAAGCGTCATGCACGCTGGGCCATACGCGTCTCAGCCGTAGAGCTCCTTTCAAAATTGCCCGTTCGACCTCCGAATTTCGTTCGGTTTCCGGGACAAAAAAATGTTCGGAAATATCGTTCGAACACCGATTTGTTCGAGTTCTGGTGCGTTCCATCTCCTAGGTTCTACTGTATTGTATTAGGATCCGTAATAATGTCACGATTCGTGATATTATTATTATATTAATTTCCCATCGATTGGCAACATAAAAATTAAAAGAGCGCTCTCAGTTTCATTCTCACAGGGCCTCTACTCTGAAATACGCTTTTTTTCGTACTTGATGAAATGCCTAGATAGTACGCATTGCGGGAAGTTCTTTTAACATCATTCTTTGGGTAGTAGTAGGTTTTTACCCTTTCAACTGGTACAGAAAACTGACACCTTTATACAAGGCATCATGTTTGCAATAACCACAACACAAGTAGTCAATAATGCAAACAAAAAGAAGCAACTCTGATAATGATAATAATATGCACTGTCCTTGAAGTTGATTGGTCCACACCCGAGACAGCTTTTCTTAGAGCCTAGTCCCCATTGGTGTTGGACCAGATGACACCAGAAGGCGTACAACTCAAACACAGTGCACTATCAGAGTATTGAGAGCTCGGGGTAAGCATTTAAACTATGAGACCTCCTTTACCAGTGACAAAATATAGTAGTAGGTTTTTACCCTTTCAACTGGTACAAAAACTGACACCTTTATACAAGGCATAATGTTTGCAATAACCACAACACAAGCAGTCAAAATGCAAACAAAAAGAAACAACTCTGATGATGATCAGAGTTGTTTCTTCTTGTTATCATCATCAGAGTTGTTTCTTTTTGTTTGCATTTTGACTGCTTGTGTTGTGGTTATTGCAAACATGATGCCTTGTATAAAGGTGTCAGTTTTTGTACCAGTTGAAAGGGTAAAAACCTACTACTATATTTTGTCACTGGTAAAGGAGGTCTCATAGTATAAATTCTTACCCCGAGCTCTCAATACTCTGATAGTGCGCTGTCTTTGAGTTGTACGCCTTTTGGCGTCATCTGGTCCAACACCAATGGAGACTAGGCTCTAAGAAAAGCTGTCTCGGGTGTGGACCAATCAACTTCAAGGACAGTGCATATCATTATCATCATCAGAGTTGCTTCTTTTTGTTTGCATTTTGACTGCTTGTGTTGTGGTTATTGCAAACATGATGCCTTGTATATAGGTGTCACTTTTTGTACCAGTTGAAAGGGTAAAAACCTACTACTATATTTTGCCACTGGTAAAGGAGATGTCTCATAGTGTACATCATTCTCTGGGGTTTAAAGAACATTCCAGAGACACAATTGCATTGATAGTAGCAGCAGTTGAAAAAGTTCGAGCAAATTTTAAATGAGCCGTGTGGTCAGTCCTCTGAAGTTGGTTCGCTCCGACCTCTTTTTAAATCCTTTATATTAAGTTCACTTGCTTGCTTAGGACCGTGCAAATCTTTCGGTCGTTTTTTAACCTACTTCCCGTGATCCAATCGAGCTGACATTTTGCACACAGACTCGTTGTGCGTGACAATTAATGTTCGTGGCATTTTTTCCCCAAAATTTTACACTTTTTAGGACAAAAATTTAATATTTAATTACCAATTGCTTAATGGTGGCAGGCAATCATCTGACCCATAGGTGGCAGCCATCTCAAGCCAGAGGACGAGAGGACTCTAGCCGCCACGCATATAAAGGATTTATAGTGAAAAACTTAGTTTTTACGGGTTATACTTGTTTCTTTTTAACGTCTTCTTCTGCCATTTCAACTCGACGCTTCTTCGTTACACGGAAAATCCCGTGTAGCCAGTTTAGCCGGCTAGTTTCCGGTGTGTTGGAGAGCCAAACCCACGGCATTGACAATTGTGACAACGTTCACAATTGTGAGTTTTCTCTCCGGCACACAACCGGTGTGCTGAACTAGGAACTAATTTGCACGTCAGTTTAACTCATAGCCTTTCGCGACCAATATCATCCATAATATGTTTTTTTTTGGGATAGATCGCGTCAATATAAATGTGTTGTTAAACCCGCCACCACCCGTCACGGCCAATTAGTAAGGTTTGTCACGTAAACGGAACGCGCCGATTCGTTACCAGTACAGCACTGAATTTCGATTTAAAGCTTTCGTGACTGCCGGGATTCGTCTTCTTGGTTCTTTCGGTAAAGTCACGTAGAATGGAAATAATAAAATAATAAAAATAAAACACAATTAAATATATTTTTTTTCACGACGTTTCGGCGTTGTGGCCGAAACGTCGTGAATTTATTTATTTAGTCTATTATGTTTTTTTATTATTATTATTTTATTATTTCCATTCTACGTGACTTTACCGAAAGAACCAAGAAGATGAGTACAGCACTAACCGTTGTGTTGGAGAGCAAATCCACAACATTTACAGTCTCCAACACAGCGGTGTTGCTGTACTCGTAACGAATTGGCATTTTCTGTTGACGTGACAACCCTTACTATCTTCTTGGTTCTTTCGGTAAGTCACGTAGAATGGAAATAATAAAATAAACAAAATTCAACATAATAAAATAATTCTCACGACGTTTCATTGTTTTATTATTTTATTATTTCCATTATACGTGACTTTACCGAAAGAACCAAGAAGATGAATCCCTGCAGTCACGAAAGCTTTAAATCGAAACCCTTCTTAGTTGGCTGCGTCGGGGTTGGTGGTTGCGGGTTTAACGACACCTTTACATTTATTACGATCTAACCCAAAAAAACTCTTACGCATTATTGGCACATTTCGTGTCCGGGTGGTGGCGGATTTTAACGACACGTTTACATCGGTCGCGATAGCTTACCGCGTCTTAAAACGACCTTTCTTCCTCCTCCTCTGACCCACTCCCCTCCCCGCCACCGCCACCACCAGGCTACTACATCATCGACGTGCGGTTCTTCTACAAGGGCGCGCTGGTGAGCGAGCAGTGGGCCTCGCGCTTGTGCCGCGTGGGCCACCGCGCGCCGGCGGTGCACGACCCCAGCGTGTACGGCCCCAGCGACGCCGCTCAGCTCCTCTTCCCGCCGCCGGCGTCGGCCCTCGCCGCTCCGGGCGACGCGAGGCAGCGGGCCCACACGGAGACTCTGCTCGCCAACGTGGAGCGCGGCGTGCTGCTGAGCGTGACGGGAGAAGGCCTCTTCGCCCAGCGCCTCTGCCGGGCGCAAGTCTTCTGGTCGGGCCCCTGCGCCGAGACGCCGCCCGGAGCCCCCAACAAGATGGAGAGGGGCCCCCCTGTGCAGCTGTTCAACACGCGGCAGTTCATGGAAGGTGCGTGTGGCGAACAAAGGACGCCAATGGGGGAAGTTGGAGACAGTCGCCCTCCCTGCGACGGCAGAGGAGCGACGCTCACGGCAGCGAGCGGAGCGCCGGGCAGATAAGATGCGGAGCAGGGAGGGCGACGGGTCATCGTGGCTGGGGTCATCATCGCTGGGGTCATCGTCGCTGGGGTCATTGTGGCTGGGGTCATCGTGGCCGGGGTCATCATCGCTGGGGTCATCGTTGCTGGGGTCATCGTCGCTGGGGTCATCGTGGCTGGGGTCATTGTGGCTGGGGTCATCGTGGCTGGGGTCATCGTCGCCGGGGTCATCGTGGCCGGGGTCATCGTCGCCGGGGTCATCATCACCGGGGGCATCGTGGCTGGGGTCATCGTCACCGGGGTCATCGTTGCTGGGGTCATCGTGGCTGGGGTCATCGTGGTTGGGGTCATCGTCGCTGGGGGCATCGTCGCCGGGGTCATCGTGGCCGGGGTCATCGTGGCTGGGGTCATCATGGCCGGGGTCATCGTCGCAGCCATCAACACCTCCACTCGCTCCCGGGGTTGTCTGTGCTCGACCACCCAAATGTGAAATTGTTGCCGTTTGCTCTGCGTCTCGCACATCAGGCGTACGAAAGCAGAGAGAGAGAGAGTTGTTGTTGTTGTTTGCTCTTGTTGCCAGAAATGAATCAGTACGTGACCTGGCACGGTCCGTCACCGCAGTTCGTCACCACCATCTGCTTCGGCGAGGAATTCCCCGACATGGACGGCGCGAAGAAATACGTCACCGTGCAGGTGAGGCGTGGTGTGCCGTGGTGAGGCGTGGTGAGGCGTGGTGAGGCGTGGTGAGCTGCGGTGAACCGTGGTGAGGCTGGGATTGTTGACCCAGAGGAGTCAAATCCCCGCTCTCGTCTTCGCGAGGCTCCTGCCCGACCCTGACCTCCCACGGTGGTGGGTGGGAGCCGGTCATTGCCCTGCGTGAGTTACACCTGGGTCGCAGTGACGGATTATCTGAGTAGCAACAGTAGCGGCATATGCTACGGGCCCCGCACGAAATGCTTTCAAGCTATCAATTCCGGTATCAGTGATTCTTCTGCACTTCCTCTATTACTATAGTACTATACTGCCTTCAGCTGTTACCAACGACTGGGTGTTTAAGGTCAACGATTTGTCGTATCTGGTTGTATAGCAAATGAAAAAATACAATTACTTTACTGTGCAAGTAAAAAATTGGTGTTTTAATATTTTCGTGATTTTTTTTTATTTAGGGCCCCTTTATAACATTTGCTACAGGCCCCGCATTAGCTTCATCCGGTACTGCTGGGTCGGGTATTAAACAACAACAACAAAACACAACACGTGGATTGGTCACGTGACACCAACGCCCTCGGCCCCACCTCTCCCATGAGCCTCTCCCTCCACGTTCCGATAGAACCGGTTAGCGCTTTGACCGGTAACCCCTTTGCCACGTTCGGCCGGAACCGGTGACCGATTGGGATGCGTCGTCGTGGGCTCCAGGTGGAGGCGCGCTTCGCGAGGCTGCTCTACGAGAAGGCCAAGGCGGAGGGCGCCTGCTCCCTGCGTGAGTTCGAGATCTCCGCTCCCAACAAGGAGGACGAGATCCTGGACATCATCAAGAGTCTGTGCGACAGCATCGCCATCTCCTCCTAGCGCCGCAGTTTCCTCTCTCGCCCTCCCTCCCTCCCTCCTCATCGCTCCATTCTTCTACCTTCCTCCTCCCATCCTCCTCCCTCCTCCTCCCCCCTCCCCCCTCCATCATCCTCCCCCCTCCCCCCTCCAACATCTTCCTCCTCCAGCACCTGAACCGGTCCTGGGCCACCTAGGTCGATTCGGCCTAAAATGGGTAACTGGGGCGGCGCGTAGCGAACGTCGCCACTGGGGAGACAAAGGCGGCTCCCGGCGTGGTTTCTGGCCACCCACCCTCTCGTGTGCCGTGCCAACCTAACTCATCGGTGCTACTCCGCTAACAGCACTTGCCCCAACAGTCTGTTAAAGGCTACACACGGGGGAAGGGGGGTGGATCTTTACCTTCGATCCCAATCGAGTAACTTGCATGAAGTGAAATTTTGTTTTCCAACTCGGCACGCGATGGTGGCCCAACTCTTGCGAAGGGCGCCGCGGGGATCATTCAATGTTCCTCGCGAAGTGACGCGCAGGGGCCTCGCTCTTCACCACCACCACCACCACCCGCCACCACCGCCCGCCACCACGGCCAACCAGCCAGGGCTGTCACGTGAACAGAACGTGGCCAATTCGTCACGAGCACAGCACTAAGCGCTTGTGTGTCGGAGAGCCAAGACACAACCATTTATACTGGTAGGAACCTACTGGTTCCACCAGCCCACAGGGGATTATTGTGTCCGTCCGTCCATCGTGCAGGGAGGGGCTGGGTGGGGAGGGTGGGGCTGGGTGGGGAGGGGAGGGTGGGGCTTGGTGGGGAGGGGCTGGGTGGGGAGGGGGGGTGGAGCTGGGTGGGGAGGGGCTGGGTGGGGAGGGGCTGGGTGGGGAGGGTGGGGGGTGGGAGGGGTGGGGGCTGGGTGGGGAGGGGCTGGTCACCCCGTGGTGCCCTTATAAAATTCAACGTTTAACCTACTCACGCCGGCTTGTGCCCGCCCTCACAGTCGGCCATATTTGCGGAATACACCACGCCGCCGTTGACTCTGGCCATTGACCGAGCAACCCAACGTTCCTACCAGTTCCCTCCGCAGGAATGTGTTAATCTGAGTACGATGTTGTGGCTTGGCTCTCCAACACACAACCGGTTAGTGCTGTACTCGTGACGAATTGGCCACGTTCTGTTTACGTGACGACCCTTACTGGTTGGCTGTGTCGGGTGGTGACGGGCTTTGACGACACATTTATACATTTACGCGATCTAACCCAAAGAAATCCCCCAGCTCTCTATTGTGGATGATATTGGTCGCGAAAGCCTCTACGTCTTAACAAAGTGGCTATACTGCCCTCTTGAAAGATCTCACACACCTACCCCGCCATAGGAATGTGTAATTTCCATTTGGACCAGGAAACTGCTGATTTTTAAAAAATATATATATAGAGCACGTGCTTTACGTGTAAACACGTGTCGTGAATTATAACTCAAAATACGTTCTTAAGTGCATGATGAACTATCCACATCCTTACCGGCTTGTGATGACCTTGGCTACTATCACCCGAGACTCGTGATTTTATGATCGTGTAAATTATCGGATGATGATGATGATGATTTTAACATGTTTTGCTAAATTATTGAATGATGCTGATGATGGTGATTTCTCTCGTGACTCTCATCAGGCTCAGGCAGGTTTCACTTCCCTGTTAAATAAAAAAAAATTCACCCTCGTGAGTCGATTGACGTGTTATGGTGATGATTGATTGAATGATTGCATCGTGATCATACTAATAAACATACCGATGATGCTGAAGATACTGATGACGGTCAAATTATTGCACGATAGTGATGATGTTACTGATAATGATTTAATTTTTGGATGAGGATTGAATTATTGGATCTTTGGATGGATGATGATGATTTTGATGTTTGAATCTTTGGATTATGATGATGCTGATAGGTGAGTTATTTGCCGCTGATAATTATTACGACGGAGTGGTTGGCCACAGCACCCACGCCCGGCCGCCTTTGTCTCCCCAGTGGCCATGTTGACACACCGCACCAATAACTCATTTGAGGCTGAGTCGACCTAGAGGATGTCCGGGACCGGTTAAAATATTCGCCACTGTTATTGGTCGTGAGCGGGAAACGAACTCGGGTCGCCGGGTTCGTAGCGCAGCGCACTAACCACTACGCTACCACTCCCCACGTGACATACAAAGACAAAGATCCCCCATATAGCCTTAGACTTGCGGCAAGTGTTGTTAGCGAGCACCTATGAAGGCAGACACGGCACAGCGGGGGGTGGGTGGCCAGCAACCACGCCCGGCCGCCTTTGTCTCTCCGAGTGGCGATGTTTACACATCGCACCGGGTACTCATTTGAGACTGAGTCGACCTAGGGGAGGCCCACGACCGGTTCAGATACCCGTCACCGATGTTTGCCGTGAGCGGGAATCGAACCTGGGTCGTCAGGTTTTTAGCGCTAACCGCTACACTACCGCTCCCCACAACACGCATACAAAGATAAAAAGTTCCCCCGTATAGCCTTGACAGACTGTAGGGGCAAGTGCTGTTAGCGAGCACCTATGAAGGCCAGAACGATACACGAGGGGGTGGGTGGCCAGCACCACGCCCGACCGCCTTTGTCTCTCCAGTGGCAATGTTTACACACCGCACCAGGTACTCATTTGAGGCTGAGTCGACCTAACAACACGCATACAGACAGACACACTCCGAATAGATTCACCCCTTGATCTTTGCGCGGCTTGCCTAAATAAATAAAACTACAAACGAAATTTCGATTTAAAGCTTTCGTGACTGCAGGGATTCATCTTCTTGGTTTTTTCGGTAAAAAATTAAAATAAATATTAATATATTTTTTATGTTGTATTTTTATTACTTCATTATTTCCCTTTTACGTGATTTTACCGAAAAAGCCAAGAAGATCAACCCAACACTATAACTCTTTGGTTCTTTCGGTAAGTCACGTAGGTAGATACATTTTTTTCCGCCTGAGCACGACCGCTTGTGCTGCGATCGAATCGTCGTGATGTATATATTTTTGTTGTTTTATTTTATTTCTCTACCTACGTGACTTTACCGATAGAAACCAAAGAGCGTGGATTCCTGCAGCCACGAAAGCTTCAAATCAAGATTCACCCCCAACACCCTCCGTGCGAGTGACACCACCCGGTGCGTGTGGCCTTCATGAACAAAAAAAAACCCCCATAAGTGACATTTTGGGCGATGCCACGTTGCCATATAAAAATAAAGGAGCCATAAATCCGCGTTCTTCGTCGCAAGGCCCACAGGCTACTGACGGCCTCCTGGGGCCTTTAGCGCGGCCCCTGATACGCGGCTCCCGACACAGCGAGTGCCGGATGAAGAAGCGAGTGCAGGGCCTGGAGCAAATGTTGTAAAGGGGTCCTAAATTTAAATAAAAAAACAAACACGTAAATATTAAAGCACGCACATTTTTTTACTTGCGTAGTAAAGTAATTGTATTTTTTTGCATGTTGCTATACAGTCAGATGATACGAACAAATCGCTAATCTTAGACACCCGGTCGTTCGTAAAAGCTGAAGGCGGTATAGTACTATAGTAATAGAGCAAGTGCAGAAGAATCACTGAACCGGAATTGATAGCTTGAAATCATTTAGCGCGGGGCCCTTTAATGTGTGGGGCCCGTAGCTACTACATATGTGTAGTAGCTACTACATATGTGTAGTAGCTACTACATATGTGTAGTAGCTACTACACGAGTAGTAGCTACTACACATATGTAGCTACTACACGAGTAGCAACTACTACACGTGTAGTAGCTACTACACGTGTAGTAGTAGCTACTACATATGTAGCTACTACTACACGAGTAGCAACTACTACACGTGTAGTAGCTACTACACGTGTAGTAGCTACTACACATATGTAGCTACTACACGAGTAGCTACTACTACACGTGTAGTAGCTACTACACGTGTAGTAGTAGCTACTACATATGTAGCTACTACTAAACGTGTAGTAGCTACTGCACGTGTAGCTACTACACGTGTATCTACTGCACGCGCAGCTACTACACGTGCAGTAGCTACTACACGTGTAGTAGCTACTACACGTGTTGTAGCTACTAGATATGTAGCTACACTTGTGCTACTGGGATAATGCGGCACTGGACACAAAACAAACGTTGACACCTCCACCATCATCATAATCGTCGTGGCCGCTGTCAAACCCCCAATGGTTTCAAAATAATGCGTGGGGGGCACCCTCAAACACTGCCTTGGCGTCTCATCGGCCAAAGTGCCCCTCCCCACGATCCTCTGCAAACGAGTGGAGAACACCGGCACGAGTAGATGAGTGAGGCTTCACACAGCGCGTCGAGACGTGAAAATCCGCGCGCGTCATCTCCGTGTTGGGCGGTTGCTGATACATTCCCGGAGCTGACCTAGAGGCGACCCACCCCCACCCCTCCACCCCCACCGCACATTTCACCGATTCCCACTTCTGCTCTCGAAGCGCCGCGGGCGACCTCGAGAAGCGACTCGGAGACCGCCCTCTGCAGAGCGACACGTACCGCAGCTCTCAGCGTGACAGCTGCCCATGGAGCACACGCGTAACATGCCACGCTACTCATCCACCCACACACACCCACCCACACACCCACGCACCCACACACACGCAAGCGCCACGCTACCCACCACCCACCCACACGCGCCACGCACGCGCCGCGCACTCAACCACGCACCCACGCTACCCACACGCACCCACCCACGCTACCCACCCACACACCCACACGAACGCGCCACGTCACCCACCCACGCACCCACCCACACGCGCCACGCACGCACCCACACGCACCCACACGCGCCACGCACGCACGCACCCACGCACCCACCCACGCACCCACCCACCCACGCACCAACGCACCCACGCACCTACCAACCATGCACCCACACGCACCCACGCACCCACCCACACGCGCCACGCCACGCTGCCCACCCACCCACCCACGCACCCACCCACCCACGCACCCACCCACCCACGCACCCACCCACGCACCCACACACCCACCCACGCTTCTCTAAACTTGCTCCGGGTCGTGCAGAGTCGTCGTTGCGTGGCTGCCCTCAAGCTGATCGATGGTCGCTCGGCGCGCGTCGCGGTCGTTGCTCGACTCATTCACTCAGAAGATCGGTGACCACTTCCCACGTCGCTCATTCGCCTTCCTCTTCCTTCCACTCCTTCACCCCCTCCCTCCCCCTCCCTCCCCCCACCCCCCACCCCACCCCACCCCCACCCTGTCGTCATTCCGAAGTGTTCCTCTGTCACGGTCGCTCATTCCTCAAACCCTCGCGCGACGCTCCTGTCATCTGAATCATTTCGTCAATTTGTTCATTTCTTTAACACTGTCAAGCGCCTCGAGTGAAGGTACCAGGGTTGACCCAACGTTGACCCAACGTTGACCCAACGTTGACCCAACCTTGACCCAACGTTGACCCAACGTTGACCCAACGTTGACCAAACGTTGCCCCAACGTTGACACAACGTTAATGGAACGTTGACCCAACGTTGACTTAAAGTTGCTCCCAACGTTTGTTCCAACGTTGACCTAATGTTCGCCCAACGTTTACTCAACGTTGACCCAACGTTGACCCAACGTTAACCCAACGTTGACCCAACGTTGACCCAACGTTGCCCCAACGTTGACACAACGTTGCTCCCAACGTTTGTTCCAACGTTGACCAAATGTTCGCTCA